TTGTAGCGGTGACAGTAAGTTAGCGATATGCTTCTTCAGAAAGACTGAAGGGACACCATCCGGTCCAGGGTTGATAGAAGGCGTTAGTTTTAGTGCGGCAGTCGTTATCACTTCAGCGTTGACAACAATTCCACCCAGAGCTTGACCGGAAAGTGGAACGTTGCTTGCTGCTAGAGTCACGTAGCATTGACGGCTGACTCGCTTGAACTGATAATTGAGCTTAACGTAGTGACGTTTCAGGGACATCGTTCGATATTTAGTGAATTTCCTCAACGCGGCTCTCTTGATCGATTTCAGCTTCTTCAATTCCTTCGTCTGCCAAGGGAGGTGCGATGCAATCTAGTGAACGCTCTTAGGTACGTGTATGTCAATGACATAAGCCAAGACACGTGAAAAAGTTTGAGCAGCAGTTTCGACGTTATCAGAATCGAGTATGTTTTCCCAAACAATGCTTGACAGCACATCGGCAATGCTGTGTTACAATGAAATTGTAAGACACCGTAGTGGAGATGTCTTCGAGATCCCGAATGCGATTGTCTTCAACAGTAATAACCAAAGGAGGATGATGAGGAACTTTCTTTACGAGTGGAGAAGGAGCCGACGAGATGAAGTGAGCCGTATCCTGAGCGCTTACGAAACAGAGGTCTAAGCTACGATTGTTCTCGTTAACCACGGGATTGATTTGCGATAACGTCGCTGCGCTACCCAAGTAACCATAGGCACCTTATTTCGACTTTTTGGCTATATACGGGCCTCATCAGAACTTACAAACTCTGGTATAGCCGATGTTTAGCTGTATATAGCCAAAAAGGCGAAATAACGTACCTATGGTTACTTGGGTATAGCTGTCGAGAAGGCTAACTGATGCAGGATGGAAAGCAGAACCAGCGGGGTCCGGAAAGAGAAAGCCACTGTGGGATGGTTTCCACGAAACACCAGCGAGATTAAAGTCGCCCAGAACAATAGTCTCATCGATAGGTGACGCACAATCTAATATGGTGGAAACGGATCGACAGTTCAATGTCGCGAACTCGGTCGGGTGCAATGTATATCACACATAAGTACAGTGTGTGATCGCTCAGCTTGACAGCTACCCATGCCTGTTCAACACAGTTCCACATGGCTATAGCATTCAACTCGGACCGAACAGCAATCAGGGCACCGCTACCAGTGGACTATTGTTCGGGTTTCGATCGCAGCGAAATACCTCGTACTCACATCCGAACGCTTGGCTGGAAAGCGTTCGAGAGTCTAGCCATGTCTCGGTTAAAACTATTACATCGTAGCAACGGTCCGATACAGCTAACAGGTACTCGTGAACGTCAGAATTCATTCCACCGATGTTGTGGTAGTACATGGTGATATCCTCTCTTCGGCGTATATCCGTGCTACGCGGAGCGATGTTCCTGGAAATCACGGGGGCGACAGGTAGCAAACGAACATTACTATTACCAAGAGGATACTCGCCATAGTGAACGGGTTGGAAGACCCCCTCTCCACAACCGACCGCAGGTCCGGAACGTCTGTCATCACAGACGTTCCGGACCTGTGGTCGGTTGTGGAGAGGGGGTCTTTCAACCCGTTCACTATGGCGAGTATCCTCTTGGTAATAGTAATGTTCGTTTGCTACCTGTCGCCCCCGTGATTTCCAGGAACATCGCTCCGCGTACGGAAGCGGCAGAAGGCATTAGGGACTTCCACAGTGCTTTCTACGGTGCGTTCCGGGTGACTAGCTGCAACGTTTCCTTCATCAGCAGCATCCGGCACGCTGAAATTCGAACTGACACCAGGCACTGTTGAATCGTAATCGATTGGATACTTGCCGGACATAGTAGGTTGGAAGACCCCCGATACGCATCTAAACTCAGGGCCGGGACGGCTATGACGAGCGCTGGCTGGAAGTGGCGCGACTGAGATAGAGGAACCGGGGGCTTCCACAATGCTTTCCACAGTGCGTCCCGGTTGAGAAGTTGAACCTGCCACCGGAAAAGTAGAAGACGGCAAAGCCGCCACGTTTTGCGTCGAAGTATGTGTGATGAACGCAGGCTGCAGTTGGCGGGACTGGGTGGGGCAATTAGGGCTTCCATCAAGCTTTCTACGGTGCGTCTCGGTTGCATCCCTATGTCGTCGGATAAAGCGATTAGGCGTCGTCTGTTGTGTTGAGGGCTCCTAAAGGGGCTGGAGTGCTGAGAGGTACTGGTGTCCCGAAAGGTGTAACAGTAGGAGTACTAACGGGAATCGCTGAAGTAATAGGAGGTGCTGGGGCAGCAGGGGGAATCCATGCTGTTTTTCCCCTGAGTATCTTCGAATTCTCTGAATACTATTCCCTGTGGCCAGGTTCCAGGGTCCAAAGCTTCCTCTTTGAGATCCAAAAAAACTCCAACCTTGAAAGAAATGAAATTCATCGATCTAAGGTCAGCACCTTTTTTCACCAATGAGATCACTTTAATTGGTTCCTCAGTATGCAGGCCGTCACGAACGAACTTTTCGACCACATCGCTAGGATGAAATCGTGACAGATAAACCCAGAACAGTCTCGAGGGAGGGTTAACAGCCAGTGGTTCGCAGTTACCAGTCACCCTAGTTCCAGAAGTCGTATTAATCGGTGTTTCCGTGTCATCTCGGCGGCGTTTCGATGGGCGATCACGATTTGGACCAGCAACACAGGGAGTTGAAGCATTTACCATGTTGGCAAGTTGAGCGACCTGAGAATTGTTCTTCACCATTTCGTTTTTCAACTCAGAAATACCGGTCAGTTGGTTTCCTATAACCATGGAGATAACATTGCCAAAGGAAGAAACAACATTTTTGAAGCGAGCATACTTCATCAGTTTGCAACACTCGTCACACATCCAAAACACGTTGTTTTTCTCACGAATTATCCGAAGGAATGGGATGTTCAGATTAAGGCATCTCAAATGGCACGCCTGATTGCAGAACCCCATACATTCGATGAATTCTTCATCCTTCACGGTCTTCGCACAGCGATCGCAAGCAGCAGCACTACTCATGATGCAGTCGTAAGTGCTACGAATCTTCGAACGTTCGGATAAAGGTGGCGCGACGATTATTCGATCCTGATGAATGTGGGCGTCTTAGTGGAATACCTGTATAATGAGAGAGAGAAGTATTAGTATTTTCCATTTAATTCCACTACTTTATTTGCTTATCCTTGACAGATACGCGTTTTTCCTCTACAATGTGCAGACTTCTTCAGTGTCTTGTACTAATACTCGAGTATTAGTACAAGACACTGAAGAAGTCTGCACATTGTAGACGAAATACGCGTATCTGTCAAGGATAAGCAAATAAAGTAGTGGAATTAAATGGAAAATACTAATCCTTCTCTCTCTGGTTATTCGATATTTCCCTATTACGAGACTCCGGCGTTCAGATGAAGATGGCGCTCCGATCTTTCTTCAGCGAGGAAAGCGAAACCGATGAAAGGAATGGCCGGTCGAGAATTTCTGTATTGTTGCGATTCCACAACACCACAAATAGCACCTTATATTTAATATTTGCGTAGAACTCCACTTCCCACGCACTTTATACACGTTAGGGATTAAAACAAAGTACAAAAAAACAGTAGGTAGTGACAAATAAACACGGAAAATTTGAAGCGTACAACAATCCTGTGCAATAACAATCGCGAGGTCGATATCGTTAGTATATGGTACCTGTTTATTAGGGAAGATTTATAGAATGTCGTTTAAAGAAAAAAAAATCATAATACTGGGAAATTTCTGGAAATCATTGACTATCCCCTCGGTTCTCTGGGTCATTCGCATTCTGCTATACATACTTTGACAGATCGCTATCCATGTATAACACTTTAAAAAAAAAACTAAAGAGTTTCAAACTTTGAGGTTCAAGGTTCAAGTTCCACATAATATGAGAAAAGGGCCTTACAATAAGCATATATTTATGCCGTTTTCACATTTGGCTCTTGAATATGTTATGTGATCATACTCTATACCCAGGGCAGCCGAGAATGTGTCCAACCCGAAAAATTTCTAGACCGAACCGGGAATCGAACCCAGCCGCATCCAGTAAGGTCTTGCTTTAAAGCTACGCCTTCATCGACTGAGCTAAGGAAGGGCAATATGTGTCGTATTTTTACATAAATCTACATTGGATCATTTCCAAACAATTTTCGAGATCCTGTTTGAAGCATTTTGTGATGTGTCGGTCAACAGGTTTAGTAATTTAGGTTAGATTTAACGGCCTAGTCTGAATTTTTAAACTTAGGAACATTAAACTTGAATTCCATAGAGAGTCGAAACGTAGGGTAGTAGATTGTTCCGTTTTTACTCTAAGACGGAACATTATTTGTATAATATATTATGAGCAAATCCGAAAACCATACAAGTGTGACCATGGATGTGCTCATAATATATTATACAAATAATGCTGATGTTCATAGTATGTCATGCAAGTTTATCCGCGGCATCAACAATATTGCTCAGGAAAGCTTATTCAATTCTCGTTGTATCATTTCTTGATTTGACTTGTAATTGCATCATAAAACATTGCACCTGATTGCATTAAGATAGGGCCAATTTGGCCCAATTGGCCATGGATGGCCACATTGGAGGCGTTCCCTCTTCATTAATTAAAGCCAACAAGCATTACAGTTGCTTGCTCGACGTCGGCAACTCCCTTCCTGCATCGTTGATGATCATTTTTATGTCCAAATAAAATTTTCTCGATTTTACACGAATGGATCAGCCGGGGCCCCTGTTTTCACTGTTGCCGCTGGTACCTACCTGAGCATTTTTGCCTTCCACTTCGCAGTTTGTATAATTGCATAAACGCATAGCTCTCGCGAACAGTTAATGCGTTTTCTTCGCCACCATGCATACATACACAAACACACATACACACACACTTACTCTCTCTCTCTGCGCACGATTAGTAGCTTACAACAGTTTGTTTCGATTCGTTCTTTCTGTTTCATGTTCCCGTTCCCGGTGCCGCCGCTGATGGTCGATTCCCAACAGTTTCGATGAAATAACAGTCTCCAGCCTGTCCGATCTGCAGCTGGGAAATTCGTCCGGCGCGGGGGTCACGATACCGGAGCAACAGTCGTCTTCGTCGTCATCATTCCACCGGGAAGCCTCGCAGCTCATCAACAGCAATAGCAGCAACGGGCAACACCAACAACAACAACAGCAGCAACAGCAACGCAACAGCTCCATCAACGGTAACGGTGAGAAAATTGTTATGCTAATTAATTGAATTAGAATTCCCTTCGTGTTTCCCAATATCTAGCGAACGATAGTCGTTCTTGGTTGGTATTGATTAGCAGTGGTGATGGTGGTGGTGGTGGTAGTGAAACCCAAAGACCTCAAAATACCTTAAGTGACCGTGAGTTGCTTTAGAGGGGTGGAAGCATTTGTGCGACGACCGTGCGCTATCTTGTGTTGATCATCAGCCTCGGTGGTTTTATTTTTTGGTGTCGGAATAAAGATAAATGCGAACAACGCGACGAAGAAGAACGACAACGTAAAAGTCAATGACGATCCCGGTGGCAGCTTATCGCGACGGCATTGCGTCCACCCCCACATGACCACTGCCGGCAGTCTGCGCACTTTAGTTTGACGCTACTGGCTCCAGTTCACACGTATTTCGGTTGGTGCATATCTCTGACCTGGGAGATATCTCTACTTTGATGGTGATTTAGCCTAGCTCAGCGACCATTGCCGACGACGCTGTCTCCTCTCCCCCCTATTATGCGAGTCGTGTGACGACAAAAGTCATGGCGGGTGAGGTTACACGGAAAGTCACATGACTCGCAGAATCAGAGGGAGTGTGAATGTCGTGCAGAGTCGAAGATATGCGAGGGTGATTGACGGACCTGGGTGGAGTGAAGAGGAATAACTGACCACGACCACCGCGGCACCACCGATATTATTTGGACTAGCTGGGTTGTTGGTCGTGGTTTCATTTTTAATTTGAATTTTAATATGAAAATTAAAAACCTGAAATTCGTCTGTGGTGGCGAAAAAAAGGGGTGATACTAGACTTCCGGAGCTTCTACCTGTAGCTGAATTCGGTGATTTTATTCAGCATGGAGGCACTGAAAGTTTCTGCCAGCTGACTTCTTGGCTGGATTTTCAGATACCCCATAACAAATTTGACAGATGAGAACTGTCACAGTCGACCGATTTTGATCCGACAAATGTTGCATCGACGTTGGTATATGGAATTTTAAAACGGCGTCAACTGAGTAAACAGCAGACGAAATCGGGTGCCGACTAAATCATCAGAAATCAACTGTTTGAAACACCAACTACATCGGGTGGCTCGTCAGTAGTTGAAAGGCTGACTAAAATTAAATTGGTACGTACAAAAAGACCTGTAATTTGTGATTCAATAAGCTTAAAAAGTCCATTATTGGTTGCTTTACCGTACCTTTATTAAAACTTCAAAGTTACAGCATAAGATGGGTACATTTCTCCAGTTCGAACCTTCCTCTTGATGGAGCCCATCAGCGCCCGCACAGTGGAAACGGACACGGAATCAGCGCATTTCTTCCATTTTACGCGCATTTGCTGAATGTCCATGACTACCCCGCCCCTTCGTCGAAGTCGCTGTTTTAAAATTGACCCGTATTTTTCGATTGGTTGAAATTCCGGGCAATTCAGATTACTTTGACCCTATGCTTGCGGATGAACGGCAATACACGCTTTTTCAGGCATTCTTCGGTGTAAACTTGGGATGTCATCGTCGAGGATGTGACTAGCCATAACTACAAATCGCTTGCCAAATCATGGCCTTCTTCGCGAACTTGTCGACAAACACGAACTTGAATCTTCCCGGCACATTGCCACGTCCAGTCGCGATGTAAAACTTTTCACCGGGATGACGTATGTTTCGTCATCGATCAAAGTCAAAACACGGTCGTACGAGAAGCGTTGCACGCTTTTTGGCCACGGAATTCTGCTCCATGTACCGGTTCGGATGTTTACTGGCTTTGTACGACTTGTATCCTCCCCTGGTAAGGATGTTCCGCACCGTTTGAAACTTGGCGTTGTACCTTCTGGCCACATCTAGGATCGAAATACCGGAGTTGCCTTTACTCACCTCAACACCTTGCTGCGCAGCTGACGATCCCTGGTTCCAGTTTTTACGTAGGCCCACTGATTCCTTTCCACTCTCAGGGTTTCCTTAAGGGTTTTGAGCACTCGACAAACTGTTGTTTTCGGCATCTTCAGCACTTTAGCCAGCTTGGAACCGGACCACTCCGGATTTGCCAGGTGTTTGTGCACAATATTTTTTTCTTTCGAGTTCCATTTGACGTTATTTCTGAACGCGATCGACTACTTTGATCAAACTTGCACCACTCTAGAGAAGTTTAAACAAACCACTGTCATTCCCAACACTAGAAGCGTGCTAGCGGCGTGCGAGGGGTGTACCAATTTACTTTCAGTCAGCCTTTTGTGGTGCACCAATCTGCGTATTTCGTAGCTTTTAGTCGACGGATTTGGTCGACATGTAATCGATTCCGAATACTGTTTTATCAGCAGACGCCCCTTTAGAAATCCCATATGCTGCCTAAAATCATATATCTGTCCCATATGGATTTTCGTCAATTTTGAGATAGCAACGCTATCTATTTACTATCAGTTTCAGGGCCACTTTTTAGTGCTTTGACGTTCACTTGTTTCCTGGAAATTAGGAAATTATTGTTAAGCAAACTACTAATATACTTTTTGTCCCGCCCCATTCTTAGAAAACGGAGAGAAATTCTCTAAGGGGCGGGGCTTGGAACGTATTTTTTGTGCAGCATATGTAAAAAAGTTGGAGGGTGGTGTACAAGACACGACCGCATTATTGACGTACTACTAAAATTTTTGATCGATTTTCTAGTTAGTTGTTTCGGATATTGTTTTGGAATAAAGTGAATTTCATAACTCAACCCTTTACAGAAGTGAGAGTCAGAGAGTGAGTCACTTTTACTCATTCGTATGAAGAAATTTTTAAAAGCGTAGGCTACTCATGCGCTGAGTAGCTTACGCTTTAAGAAAATGTTCCATACGAATGAGTAAAAGTGACGAACAAATGAGTAAAAGTTAACCACTGAGTTAGTTTCGTTTTCAGTGTACAACGCAACGAACACTCGGCAGTCAAACGATGACTGCAGTAAAACTTTCTACGTTTCTCTTACTTAAACATTTAGATTAGCATTCTATGCCCCTCCTTTTTTCTATATTTTGCTGATGTGAATGAATTGAAAAAAAAAATGTTTGACGAAATAGTAATGGTAATTTTTGAATGAAATTCTATTTTAATTACACCATTTTAATCAGATCGATTATAAAATTTGTTTGGTATAATTAGGATAGTTGTTTATCAATGATTAACTATTGGAAAATGATAAAAGTGTTAGGTCGCATTCAACCAAACGGTACCAGTCAATATCATTTATTGACTTTGCTTTTTTTTCACCTACGTTAGCAAAATACAGAAAAAAAAAGAGGGTCTACGTAGTTTATGAACAGCCCCATATGTATCTTAAAATCGATTCAGGGACGCTGCAGGAAGCCTTTCACCTCCAGCCGGGCATCGTTGGGACAGGCTGGGCTGGGAGCAAGTCACTTTTTTCAAGCCAGTCACTAAAAAGTCTCCTTTTTTAAGGTCAAGTCACTAAAGTCACTTTTTCTTGTAATCAGACACTATTTTCAACTTTTTTAGAGTGAATTTATTTCATGATTGATCATTCTTTGCTTTGTGACGTTTAATTGTCTTCTCATTTTTCTAAATAAAATTACCTGAGTTTTCTAGGTTTTTCCAGAACTTTAATAGATAAATTCCATGCTATTTTTAAAATGCGTTCAAAATATGCTTTTTTGGAAGATAAAAAAAAAACAACAGTAACTAACCCAAACGTTTTTAAAACATGGCAATCAGTTTTAAAGAAACAGCTTTACAATAAAATCCATTGAATGTTGAAGTTTAGCACTTACTTAATTTATCATTTTAATAAAGTTAAAAAAACGTACTTCATTTGAGTAAGTCCAAGATCTAAAAGTTTTGTATTCCATGTACAAGTTCAAGATATTTAATTTCAAAGTGCCTGAATTAAGGAAAACAAATAAATGATTTATTTCAAGTTCTTAATTAACTTTATCAAAGATTAGAGATCTTCATTGCTGTCCAAACACATTGTAGGAAGTTTGAAGAAGTTCTGTGGAATGAAAGGAAATGCTGAGAATTTCAGTGAAGTTCCTAGAATTTCAGAGCACATCCCAGGTGTTAAGCGATCTTGAGAAATATAGAAAACTTGAAGGGTATTGTGCAAGTTTTTAAGAAGTTCTAAGCACCTCAGAAAAGCTAGATCTAGAGATCGTTGGGGAATTTCAGATCTCAAGAACAGTTCCCATGTCTTTAGTTTCTATAATCGTAAATTCAGAAAAAAAATTGAGGACCCTTAAGATGTTCCGAGAATTTCAGGGAAGTACAGAGACCTTCAGAGAATTTATGAAAACTTCAGAAATATTTCAGGAACTTAACAGAAGTCCAGAGAATTTTAGGGAAATTCACCTTCAATAGAATTGAGAGCTTTAGGGAAGCTTCAAGAACATCAAGACAGATCAGAGAATCAAACGGCAGTTAAAATAATTTCAACGAAGTTGTAGAAACCTTAAAGAAGTTCCGGAAACTTCAGCAAAGCTCCTAGAGAATTTCTGAGGCGTGATAAAAATTATGTGAACATCCGGAAAACGTAAGAGTAATTTATAGGTGTTATATCATAAAGATTTCAAGAACTTAAAAAAAAAATGCAAAAATTTGGCTAAGTTGATTAGAGAATCAATAAAAAAAAAGGGATAACTTTTAGCAAGCAGCTATATCTTCAAGAAATTCCAGAGATCTTCTAATAAATTTAGATAGTTTCATGATATTCAGCGAAGTTCCGAGATAGCATAATCCCATCAACTTAAGCAAATTTGCAGCGACTTACAAGGAATTCCCTGGAATTATAGGGTATTCCAAGAATTCTTTGATTGAAACGAAATCGTAAGGGAATTTTGAATAGATGTCAGAAAATTTGCAATTTAGAGAACTTCTGGTAAGCATAGATAAGTTTAGGTAAAATAAGTGAGCGTTTATAATGGTTAGAATACTTAAGAAAAATTTACGAAACTTCAAAGTTGCGAGTTCTTAAAATATACTGATCAATTGAGGAAAATTAGTAAATCATTTTCA